CGTAAATACGAAATTCAACTTACATGCGGTTCAAAAGTTTTTTTTTGCGTGTTCCTCGTGGGAACGGCGGCCTGCGTAAACACACACGTTCTTTATTGCCTTGTAAACGCAGCCCTCTCATTAAGTATCATTAGACGGAGGACCTGCGTTGAATATTAATTGCCGACCAGCTCCTAACACGGGCAATTACGATGCCCATAGCACATAGAGCATCACCTGCGTGTCTAACGCGCAAAAATTAAAGCCTCCTCGCAAACGTGATGGAATGTTTGCAAAATATTTTTGCCATTAGAGGAAGCAGGTTTTTTTCACTTTCTTAGTATTTAGAATTTCATTACTTGCCATGTATTAATAGGAATTATAAATCTGTTGAAAATTTCCGTACTTTTTTTTCCGGACATTTGTAGAGACAAAAGCAACCTGTTAAATAAAGTTATGTATAATTCCGTATATGCAAATTCAATAATAGTGAAATAATTCGAAAACGCTTAAATTTTAAGTTCAAAACTTTTTTCCCTTGAGAAATCGAATCTGGGGCTAAATTGATTATAACAATTTATCATACTGCGCTTAATATCATTTTTGTAAAAGTATTGAATATAAGGCAGAATTAAAAATTTTTACGAAACGATGATTTATTATTGATTTTTCCTTCATGTTTTGTGAAGAATAATTAATAAAAAAGGCAATGTTATATTTTCACGAATAATATTGCTGGTTACAAAGATTTATAATAACACATCACAGCTTCATTTATGTTTTTCTCTCTTCATTTCTAAGTAAAGCAAGGTTTCCTGCGATCAAAGTGAGTCGATGGCTGTGTTAAATCCAGCTAGATAATTTTTGTTTGTATTTTTTAAATTAAATTTCCTCGTCGGATGATTATAATAAGCGAAAGAGGAATTTCCTCCAGAGGAAACCCAGCATTTTTTCCCAGGACGTTTGACAGATCAATCCGTTCGCTCGTCTGCGTTCTTTATTTTAATCAACAAAAACAGTTCCCCGAACGCAGCCTTGAATATTTTTTCATCTGCTTATTTTTATTATATATTAACTCGATTCCACGCGTTTGCCACGGATCGATCCTGGAAACGGAATTTATAATCACACTCCGCCGTCTTGGAGAAACGTAATATTTTTTGTATGTCCGCTCTTCCATCTCGACGGATCATTTTAATATTATACAAAGTCTCGCACCTGCCCTCGCCGCTCCACGGCATAATGATCCTGTTTTGTGTTTCTCGGCGCATTGTCAGATTGCAATTACATCCCCGCAGCGGGGGACGCGCGCTTCGCATCCCTGATCTACCCCAACGCAGAATGACACAACCCCTCTTCAGACGTTTCTGCTTCTCATCTTCTATAATTTAATATTGAAAACACACACCGGTGCTGAGAGAGGGCTTAAAAAAAGCATCGCTCGTTTTGCTTTGCTTTTTGATATGGAGCACATATAAGATTTTTTTCTTATTATATACCTGCTGGGCCGACGCAATATGTGTATTTCTTGTGCCATTGTTAAGGGAAAAAATCGTATGGAAGGGCCACTTGCTTGTCCATCATTCTGGTTACCGCTGACGGGGATTATAGACCAGTTTTTTAGTTGTTTTGCGGAGACCTTGCAAGATAAAAAATAATAATTTAATATATATATTTTATATTTATATATTTTATATATAAAATTTAGAAATGAATAGCAGTTAGGTATAAAGACACAAAGTTTTTTTAAATCAGATTAAAAAGTTAAGAGTTCCTCATTGTTATAATTTAAGTGTATCCAATCGCCCATTTTTTTTACAATTTGTTTTAATAAAATAAACAGATATTTAATTATGTTTCTATGTCGTAACTAAAATAAATTTTTTTAACTAAAATTTAACAACTTTTTAACTACCCAGAGTTTCAAAAATATACACGCCTATCTCAATAGCATTGGCTTAGAGAATAATAAGAGGATAATTTTAACAACCTGTAAAGAGTAATTTTTTTAAATGATGGACATTTACATTGGCAATTCTTATTTTCAAATTAAAAACTATTAAATAAGTAGAGTAAGATTAAAATAAAATGTGGAATAGACACACAGAGAGCACATTATAACCACGTCTATCCATTCTCTATACTTAAATTTACACTTATTCAAATGATAGATGACCATAGCTAGTCAAACTTGTTTTGGATCCAGAATTAATTCAACTCTTGATTCGTTTTTAATAGCTTATAAGGTGTCATAAAATATAAACTAGGATTCCGTGAGCCGCCAAAAAAAAAAAAAAAGCTAGCGCCCTTTCATCATGATAATTGCACCTTTTCATTAAGCATTCACTACAAAACGGACCGAAATCCAACTCATGTATTTATGTTTGATATTCATGGCACGGCCATAATAACAATTTAAATAAGACTCGCGAGCAGCTAGACGAGATTTAACAAGATGCGTGTTTCTGAAAAAGGTGGCTTTTTTGTTGCTCTCGGATTCGCGTGAAATAAATGCGCACCGACCGTTTCAAAACTCATAATCAGCATCTGATGAGAACAAAGGCAGGTGCAGCCCTGCCGAATTAACCATTCAAATTCGGACTGGCAGCTTGTGTGTTTGAACACGGCCGGCTATCATCATTTCACTTACGGGCAGCGGCTTCCATAAAATGAGGGAATAATTTCAACGCTTCTGCGTCGCACGCAAGTTTTTTTTTCACTTCCACGCGCCGCAGACTCTCATTTTCATTATTGCTATGAGGAGGCAGAAGAAATTGATTTGAACTGTCCGCGTCGAGAAAATTATTGGTACATGCTCTCAATTTTTTGCTCGTTTGAAACAAACCAACCGCGACATAATTGCACACGTACAGTGACGTGCGAGGTAATTGTTACGTAAATTCACTGCCACTTTCCTGATTCTCAAGCGGTCTGACCGTGAAATCTGTCTGCCGTCGAGGCTCCCGATTGAGTGGAAATCGAATGGCATACAATTTTTTTCTTTTTTCTTTTTTTTATAAATCTCAATTTTTTTGTTCCAAATTATTTAGAATAACATTTACAACGATAAAATTAATAAATGCAAAAAAAATGAGTAATTTTGAAGTTTTTTCTAAATTAAATCAAATTTACAACATATCAATCTATAACATAAATTTTTGTCTTTATTGAAAAAAGTGATAATTCTCGATGCAATTTGACCAGTTTGGAAAATTTTAACACTAACAATTGTCGACAATGTAAGGAACCTTATTAAATGAGAAGTGTTTTCGGGGATCTTTTATTTAAATTAAACCAGAAAATTTTAGAAAAATCTTCTCTCAATTTACAATTAATTGCAATGGCTTTTTGTAAGCTCACTAATTCTGACTTCAAAACTTAAGTAAAAGGAAAATTCGCTTGTGCAGCGGCCTTGTCAAAAAAATATTAATATTTTGTGAGCAATATCTAATATTCATTGTAAATACAGTTTTGATTTCAAAATATAAAAAACAAAATATAACGTAATAATAAAGTTATGAGCAAGATAAGTCAGGATTTTTTTTTATGGTTTTGATCTTTGTATCCTTTTAAAAAAGTGCGGCCGGATGCAGTCAGACCCCCATTCATAAAAATTTCGTGGTGATGTCAATGAGGACCTTTGATGACCCGCTCGCTGCTTCTCTCTTTCAAGGCACCCTTTTGTTTGTGCGTGTCGGCCGCTGAGAGGAAACTAATAAATATATTTTGAATGTGCAATACCAAAACTTCCTCATTTGGTTTCACAACAGCCACACCATACACAAAACGTGAATCTCCTGCCTCTCTTTCAAATTTTCAAATGTTTAATTTTACACGCGTGCTGATGCAAAGTTGCCCATAAATCATGTTGGATTAAATGAAAAATGAATTTCATCGTGGCCATTAACGAATGTAGATTTTTTAATGAGAAAGCCGCCGTGCTCTAGTGTAGAAGAGCATCAGAGAACTAATTAACGGAAACAAAAACACCCATTTCAGAGCAGCAAAACATTAATTTTTAAATAGTTTGTTGCTTTTCAAACAGCCGAGTGTTGTAAATCAGGTGAGTTTTAAATTTCAGGTGTTGGAATTCAAAGTATTCACAAGTTTAGAGAATTTATTACATGTGATTGGCAGCGCAGGTTAACACCTGCCTCGATTTTTTAGCTTTAAATGGGAATTCTTACGCCTGCCGGTCCAATGATTAAATTTTGATTCCGTTTTCTCGCCGCTCGCGCAGATTAATAGCTCTTGATATGGAGGATCAAAAATCCATCTGGAGTATCGCCGCGATTTCTGAGAAAACCGCGCATTTAAATCATTTGTCATCGGAATTCCCTGCTTTGCGGCGAGCACAAATTTCAAAACTTTTATAACATGCCCATTGTGCGGGACCCCATTGTCTAGTGTGATGGATGAGCAAGGAGAATGGGTCTGATTTCAATTGAACGCTGCCTCAAATTGCACCGTGCATATTATGCATTTCAACCTCCAACTTAGTCAGCATAAATAAAAGCTGTTTTTAAGATTTTTAATTCTTTGCGCTTCAATCAGAAACTGTGCTAAATTATGCAAATTTTGAAATCATGGAGTAAATTTATTATTTAGTTTTTTTCTGCTTTTTAGTGTTCTATTTATATTTTTTATTTAATTTTTCACTAAAAATTATTATAGTATTGTACATAGTCCTAATCATACAATTTGGTTTAATTCAAGAAATGGGCTAAATTTAAAGGGCGCCTGAAATTGGATTTCTTATGGTTTAGCGTTAGCGCATTTGAGTATTCGGCACTCGTATCAGCTCAATTCGGCAATTGAAAAATTGGCGTTGGATTTTCTCTGCGTTTTCGCCATGCTGGCCCGCTAAATTTTGAACCAGAGAAACGCAGTCTCGGCAGGTATATAGAAGTGCGAAAGGGGCCACATGACGTGTGCCAGCGGGCCAATGCGATACGGCTAGCCAAAAAAATAAATGAGCCTGGCGCCCGTTTAATAAAATAGAATTCGCTATTTTACCCTACCTTGAGCTGTGCATGGCGATAGTCCCTGGACCGTTTGGGGTCCTCGGCGTGTCGGCAAAATCCTACGTTGACTCAAATCCTGGAGATACGGAAGGCAACTTTTGTTATCAATCCATCCTGCTGGCGGTGGGTGCGACGTGAGCGAACAAGTCAGAACGGGGATGAGGGACGTGTCGCGAGTGGCGCACCTAGAAAAAGTTTTATCAATTTTAGGCCCCTGGCGATACTAAAATTTGAGCCCAGTTGACGACGAGCGAAATCTTGTTCAAATTGAAAAATACCTTGGTGCCGCGGCTGGAAAGGTGATCAATTTTGTAGCTTCTCCGGAACCCAACTTCGCTGGGTTTTTTTGAAAAATCACTTAGTTTGGGGAAAAAATTCAGAACTGACTTTTACTTTACATCACAATCACAACATCTCCTCTCCTGTCTCTTTGTAAACAATTACTGACTCCGCCCCCTCATTTTCCCTCCGTTTTCAAAAAAGGGCGCAATTGCATAATGCACTGATTAGCGGAAGGCAGCGCTTCAAAAATAATGATTTTACTAAAAAAAATTACAATTGCGCAAAGAAATATCAAGCTTTTTTCTTAGTTGCCATTAATTTTAATTTCATATTCTACGAAAGAAATGAAACTGTGCTAAGAGCAAGCCCTCAATTATTTCACAATGCCGAGAATAATTTTTAGTTCTAATTTATATCAATGCATTGAGACATTGAGAGATAAATTTAATAAGGTTTTGAAAATTAAAAATTATTTTTTCAAATTTTTACTTTTTATCCAGAGCGCTCAACTCCGGCGGCGCCGCTTAAGTTAGAAAATTTTGAAGCGCTGCCTTCCGCTAATCAGTGAATTATGAAATTGCGCGCCCGTTTTTGTAAACAGATGGAAAATGAGGGGGCGGAGTCAGTAATTGTTTACAAAGAGAAGGTGAAAGGTCTCTGACTGTTTTCTCAGGAAAAACTCAGTGTGAAGTTGGGTTTCGGAGAAGCGACAAGCGGCGGCCATCCGCAATTTGATCATCGTTCCAGCCGCGAGGTATTTTTCAATTTGAACAAGATTTCGCTCACATTAACTGAAAATATTTATTATGAATCAGAGGGAAAAATCACTTTGTCATTCGTCTAAAAATAGAAATAACTTTTCAGAATGAAAAACTAAAACTAAGCAATACGATTCTACAGGTCAACCGAGACTCACCGCGATGGATTGGAGTCTTTCCGATCTCATAAGTTTTAGCAAAATTTTTGATAGTGGTGGGGCCGCTTTTTCCAACAATACCTTTTATTTAAACTTTTTGTTTTCTACAATCGAATGAATGAAATTTAATGTAAAATTAATTTTCCCAAAAAGTACATTAAAGTAATTGGTTCGAAGACAACAGATAATCAACCTTAAAAGAACAGCATCATTTGTTTGAAAATTTACTTCATGACTTGAAAACTATTCTTCCTATAAAATGTAGCAATTGTAGTTATTTTATGGAGCTGGTGAGTTAATTATTAAAACATAAAAAAATTATAAATTTACCATCCAAAATAATTTAAAACATCAATAGTTGCACATTCGAAATTTAGAAAAATATTTTGCTTACTTACTTTATAGCACTTGTTCTTTCGACTGTTTTCCTGTTGCTAAAAATTGAAATGAAGGCCAAACGGGGAGTTAAAACTAATTGCTGGTCGGCTAACTATATACCACTTGAAGTGGCTCACATTCCGCGCGAATATTCCATTTTTGCATCTGAAAACCATTACTCTGAGCCATAACAATTTATCTCAACAATCCATCCGTCAAGTCCGCTCGTTTACAACACAAGTTGTTGCTGATCGCACCAATAAATCCGAGAAGAGGGCCTGGCCCTTTTATGCTGGGAAATTAATTAAAACGCCGAAAGCGGCGGCGACGCTAATTGCGCCACAGGTGCCTCTGCCAAAAGCTCTAATTAATCGAGCAGAGGAGTTTGATGCACGAAAAATGACGGTTGTCTCGCTTGGTTTTCCCCTATTTGGCGCGACAAAGTGTATAGGATCAGGTCGAGATTTATGTTTCTTGACAAGTTGATTCTTAATGACGGGCCGTCAGCAACATCAAAGGTCTCGTGCACAATATCACGATAACCAACCTGTCATTAAAGGATATCGAGCAGATGATATTTGAATCTCATTAAAGCAGCCGTCGGCAATAACTCTTTACCTCGCACTTGCCGATCGTGTCTGCTGATAACCAAAATGGACCGAAAAAATGAAACAGCGGCACGGAAGATCTCGACGTGTCTTTCTTCGTCTATAACACCTTGCGATGTTATTAAAAAATGCTAAGCATATGCGGCTCGTAGCAGTCGTAGCTCTAGGGTGGCTCACATAAAAATGTTGCCGTGAAATATTCGTAAAATATTCACGCACGCGTCATATTATGCGCAAGACTTTTATTTCACCCATCCAACTCGGAGCGTGCAAATTTTTTCTATTCAACTTATTCAAGCGAGGTGTGCTGGAATAAATTAAAAACGAGCGTCTCCTTTATTTTGTTTTATTGTCCTGCTATGGAAGTTTAAGATGTTTTTGCACCCTGCATTTTTTCACAGTTAAACGCCATTGCCTCAAAGAATTTTTATTCTTCGCGTTTAATTAAATTTGCATTAAGAAAAGAAGATAAGTTTGATTAAAAACCAGGCACTGTCATTGATTTTTAAATATTTTATTACATTTCATCTATATATTTATTTGTTATGCAAACATCAATACACACATTTTGATGAACAACAGAAAAACTTTTTTTAAACTAATTTTTATCACTTCTTCAAAAAGATTAAGAAGATTACTGACTCACCTTAAATATTTTAAGCCGTAAAACAAATTTGACCATTGGAGAAATGGAATAAGTTTGTAAAGTAGGCAACCCGTTTGTCTCATCTGATATGGTTCTCTGTTATGAAATTTGTATATGGTTTGCTTATAAAGTGGGCATAAAAATTAACTCCTCGTGGTTTTTTTCCATTTATATGTGCACCTCAGAAAAGTATATGTAGTGCAAACATAGAAAAAATATTAACTTTGTTCATAAATAGCACTCAACAGTATATAAATCAAATTATTAAGTAACTTATAAATTTTCTTTCTTTTACCACTGAAATTAATACATTTTACTGATTGTGAGAATTAAATATTCTTTTCAACACTTTTAACCAGATCTATGGTTTATTGTACCTGGCCCGCCATTGAAGAACGGAAAAAATGTATCCGTTTGTTGAATAGAGCAGCTGAAATCAATTGTAATTTTAATTTTTTTTCAATTAATTATAATTTCCCTATAAAGTACCTTGGCAAAGTAAACTTTGGACAGGACGAACACTCCTCTAGGCTCAATTCTCGCCGTCACTTGTGAATTGCAGTCGGTAAGCAGGACCTCAAGTTTGTCCGTCATTGAGCCAAAACGCATTTCACCTTGAATGATTTGTCTCCTTGCTTCTTTTCGAACCTTTTCTGCCATCCTTGTGCTCTGAATAAAAAAATTTGATGAATTTTTTTAAATTTGATCATCATGACTTAGCTTACTTCGTCAGTTAGCATTTGCCCGGCCCTACACAGAGCAAAAGGCTGAATTAAGAATATGCCTATAGTAGCGATCAATTTCATAGTAATATCTGCATAGTTCTGTGGTAAAAAAGGATTTTTTTCAAATTTATTTTTATTTTTGTATATCATTTGCGTACGCTGATCCAGGTGCAGATTATGACCGTAATGGCTACAATGTAGGTGGACATTGTAATGTAAACCACTCCTCCAATCAAGTTATTAAGAGATTCAACCAATCTGTAGATTTTTTTTTCAGATTCACCATTTACAAATAAATACATTTTAGTTCTACTCCATGTATTTTTCCCTGTAAGTGATCCACTGTTCAAAAATAGGAGGTGCTCTTGTTAAAACTTGGTGAGGTTTCAATGCCATAGGTACGGTGTCAGCCAGAAATTTCGCACGTTGAGCAAGTGAAATCATGCATGAACAGATAAAGTTTTCACTACCGCACGCTTCCATTAGCATATAAACCAAAGTCAAACCTATTTCCCATAATTTGTTACACAATAAATGATTAAATGTTTTTATGATAATGATCAGTAAAATTTAAATACCCTGAGCAAAGAAAATTGTGTAATACACGGGAGGGTACAAAATGTCTCCTGGCCACCACATCTCAAAAAAGAGAGGATAACGCTGGTCTCTTAGTTTTTCAGGCAGGAATGAGTAGATAAACCGATCTTCATCTAAGACGATAAAGCTGCATGAATTTTTTTTTAAATGACGTTTTCTTAACGATATAATTCAATAACCTGTAGATGAATTGGCTCAATACTATTCCAACTGAGAATGTCAACCACATTATGAATGAAAATTTGGTACGTTTTTTCAAAATATTTTTGCATCGCAATTTCATCTCCTCTTCCTTTTTTTGCATTTCAGCAGAGTCAAATTTTGGAAATCCATCTGGAGTTGAAAATTAAAAGTTAAAAATCACAATATATTAATTAATCAACATACTTGTCAGTTGGTCCAACAATTTCAGAATCCTTTCCCTCTTACGGCAAAAGAACAGGCTTATCGATACCTGTTGTGCTGCAATTGTAAAGAAACGCCCGAAAAAAATGAGCGAGTTGAATTCGATTTTCCCTTCTAGAATGTACGCAGCAAACGTCATAGCCAAAACCACGTATGTGATTGTTGTGCAAAATGTCACCCAAAGACGAAACACACGCTGCGCCGATTTCAGCCTAATCAGCCCCGAAAAGCTGAGAACCCAAAGAGGCGATACAAATTCCATTGCGATGGAGTTTGGTCTGATTCTTACTCGGAGAGACCCCTTTTTATAAAAGTTTGGATAGATAAATTATGAAAATTGCATTTTTATAACCATAGTAACGTACGTCAAAAAAAAAGGAGAGCATTGGGAGCGCGAAGCACGAAGAGGGAAGTTGAACCTAGTAATTTGTATTTAATTCCCTTGTTAGCTTTATCATTTGTTACGAAATTTCACGTAGAAAACGCTTAAAAAAAATTACAAATAACTTTTTTAGTTTTTTTTTTTAGTAATTATTTACCATTTAAAAAATTTTGCTACACGCTTTCTTTGAAAAAAAAATTTTTATTGCATGTTTTATTTAAAGTCAACATTTTAAAATTTTAATTTTAAACTATGTTATTATGTTCAAAAAAAGTACGAAAATTATATAAAATGTTTTTTCTATTTCATAATTTAAATTCAATTAGACAATGACATAAATATGAACGCGGAACTACATTGATTATTTGTTCTCAAGTGATCTGCTATTTTTTAAAGACCTTGGTACTCCTGACCAATTTTTAGTGTAATAAGGTCATCAAGTCTAATACGTGAAAATTAAATTCAAATCTACTATCCTA